TTGACTCAATTACAGGACAATCAATTGCTCGGTTAAGGGGTTTGAATTGCCTACTCGTATGGAGGTTCACCTTCAATAACTCTTCGTAACAAGAAGGTGAACATACACGAGCAACTCATCAAACCCTACAACACATAGACAATACAATAACAAACAAGTCTATTCCAAACGAGCCTAAATCGACCGACGCCTCCCCTTTCGGTTCTAAACGTCGATTGATTAGGTTAGATTGGTGATCAATCAACTAACCCTAGAATATGCACAACTCGCAAGGATTGAACAATTATCAAACACATAATTGAAAACGAACCGAAAAAATCGTCCTCTATCCCTAACTTATGGAATTAGCCACTCATCACAATATCAACACAAGCATTCACCATAAAAGAAGCCATCACATTCATGTATAAGATGAAAAGAAAAGCTTACGATTAATACCAAATCCAAAGTCGATGAAACAACGAGCAAACCGAATCCAAAGCTAGAAAATGAGTTTTAATCCTCCAAAATCCAATCCAAGATGAAAGATTAAGAAAAAGTAGTGTTCTAAGGTGAAAGATGATAAAAAACGAGTCTCACTCTCCCAGAAATTAACCTAGGCTCGATCATAAACATCCCAATTTCGAAATCACAAAAATCCCGCAGCTGTTACAAAATCAGATCTTAGCGGCGCTAACCTACCTTAGCGCCGCTAACCCACCTTAGCGGCGCTAAGGTTCCATAGCGCCGCTAAGCCTCGTTAGCTGCTCCTCTCTGGCCCCGCTAAGACATAAAGCGCCGCTAACCAATTGACCTTAGCGGCGCTAAGAAGCCTTAGCGGCGCTAAGGTTTGGACAGCATCAAAAGCTTCACATCACGGGCTTGTATGCTCGGCTAGCGTCTCCCGGGTACTGCCCGAGCTGAAAACTTAATGTTTGCATGCTTGTGCCCCTCAAATTGCTGTTCAATCCATCCACTTCTCATCACGAATGAGTGTTCACCAATCCGATCAACCTAGTACCTGAAACCGCACCACCGGAAAAGACACGAAAAACAGAGAAAATAGGAGAAAAAGGCAACAGAAAATACTAAACACACCAAAATAAAGACAAAAGCATAAGAAACGACAAAGAGGGCCGGAAATACCTAAGAAAAGACCTAAAACGGGGGAAACGACACACAAAATATCAACGAAAATAGCAACAAAAACGGGACAAACATCAGTGTCGCGCCCGTGATAGTAATCGCGCCACCACGATATGGATAACGAAGGTACCTTCATTATTTCATAGTTGATAACGACTGTACTTTCGTTATACTTATATTTTTAGCTTTATTAGCGTAATACTACTATATAATACTAAAAGGAGACTATAGTCCTTTCCAGCTACATTGAAAAAATATTTGAATAATCACTACATTGGATACACATAAAACATTATACAAGTCAAAATACAAATATGGCTGAGTCAAAACACTATACCAAAAGTGAAAACACTATAAGTCAAAAGCAATGTACTAGTAAAAAATATAACCTCAAGTTGTTTGATTGAGGTTAATCTCCTCACACTTTCCACGATTATGGCTGACTTTTGAGCAACTACTACATTTATGCATTTGCCGAGGTTTAGAAGTTGATTTTTTTAGAGCCTCACCTACTGATTTTTTCCGTTCAAATGTAAGTCTGCCGCCCTTGGATGTCGTGATAGTGGCGACAACACAATTCGTGGCATAGTTTCTTACGGAACCATCCAATCGGTCTCACTAGGCAAAGGGTGAATGGGTTCAGAGTACGCCTCTCTCCAAAAAGAGCTCGAATACATTCCAGTGCAGAAACTGTAGCTGTTGTCATTCACAAATCTTATTGCAACAATAGCATGTGCACATGGAAACCAATCCATTTGAAACTTCCGGCATGTGCATACCTTTCCTCGAGATCAACTATATGTCTTTTACCAACTTGCAAAATTATCTGAGATACATGGACCACTTCTAGTCCATTGGACTCGTCATATCTCTTTCACATCTTCTGCTCCAATGGTGGGGTAAGAAAACTACTGCATTTTGTAGAATTAAGATTTCTTTAATGGAACCACATTTGCAGTGTCACCCGGACATGTTCAATCAGACCAAGGAAAGAAAATTATCGAGCACGTTTAGCACAGAGTTCAATGATTTAGCATTTTTTGTTGTCATTATGTTGAAACGAGTTGCTTTAAAATGTGCTCTAGCCCAACGGTGCAACTCGACTTTCTCGAGGTATGCCCACATTTTCTTATTCTTATTGCATAATGCTGCCATGTTGCATTCGAAATCAGATATTGTGTATGCTTCAGCTGTTATCCAAAACAATTCATCTAATTCCAACCTTGGAAACTCTGATTTTTGGTTTCTTAGCAAGTGATAGTTACAATATCCATGATGCGCATGTTCAAAAACTTCATCAAAAGCACTAGGAATACTGCTTTCTCTATCTGAAACTATAACAAGATCTGAAGAATCACATGTTATATCTTTCAAATTTTTACTTTTCAAAGAAGAAAGTCCAAGAAATATTGTTCTCGGAGTCTACTATTGCCCAAACAAGTGGATAAATTTGAAGATTTGCATCCTGACATGTTGCAATGAGCAAAGTACCACGATATCTCCCCGTCAAGAACGTCTTATCCACATATATTACTCTTCTTATAGAAGAGCGGAATCCACGAATGCACTGCCCCAAAGCCATATAAAAATATTTAAAATGGCAATCCACACTTGTTTCAATGAACGTGACCGTCCCATGATTTTTTTGCTCCAAATAGTAACAATATGAAGGGAGCTTTGCGTAACTTTCTTCCAGGCAATCTCGTATGAGACCAAATCTACGATGCTTTACCATAATGCTTTTTTGGAGCTGATTGTTATCTCGAACTTCTCTTGGACATAAAAAATAATATCTTCGGCTTATAAATCCGATTGACGTCTTTATACTTTCGGAAATGTGCTTCCCAATTAGCTTATACGTCGCATGCCTGTGATCTTTACGACGTACGCTCATAGAGCAAGTGTGATTACTAACATACTTACGTACTACAAAAATTTCACCACTATCTATCTTCACCGCTCTCAAACGCCAAGGAAAATTTCTTTCAGTACAAGCAACAACATAGAAGGTCTTCGTTGATTTTACCACTCGGAATTCAAAGTGGTACTTCACGGCCAACAACAAAAGTTAATCTACTAATCTCTTTTGGTTGAGAAGATATTGTTACATTGAAAATCTTCGGATCATCACGGAAGATGGACAATGGAGAGGACTCATAGAACAACTTGCATTTCCATCCATGGCATATTTTGTTGAAAAATTCTCACGCGCATCTTCTATCAACAAAGTGGTCCCTCTTTCATCTTCAACTTGAACTTTTGTTTTCATAGGACTATCTCTATTCTCCACCATGATGTCCTATTGACCTTCGAGCGGCTCGCTAATTTCATTTTCCCATATAAGTGTTCCAATCACCTCTAAATTGCCATTGTTTGTTTCTTCTTCAACTTCAAGATTTTTTTCAACTTCAACATTGTTCGTTTCTTCCTCAACAAGTTTTTCGAAAAGTGTTCAATGATCGCGATTCTATTACGTGTGAGATGCTATCGAACTTTATGAGCTTCAGGACTGCATCTTCAAGCTCCAAAAAAGATATGTCGTCGCGAACATAAATAGGATTGACATTCTTTTCATCTTCATTCACATATCTCCACGTCCATGTGTCATTCGTATTATTTTTAAACTCAACATAGTGGCTTACTTGTATGTACACCATCTTTGCTAAAATCAATATCTACAATAAAAAAAATATATGTTACTTCAATTCAACAAGATAATTGTGGAAACACGTGTTACTAAAATAGGAGATAATATACAATGCTCTTAAGTTTACTCTTTACAATTTGTATATAACCAACTATTTTAGTCATAACGAAAGTACATTCGTTATGAAATAATCATCTAACGAATCTACATTTGTTATGAGAAAATCATCAAATAACGAATGTACATTCGTTACGACAATCGATAACTACTATACATTCGTTATGCAATATCAAATGCAACATCATCTAAAAAAATGGAAGATAAAACGTGAATGACTCAAAAAACATTAAAACCAAAATGAAATCAAAATGCATATCAAAGTTAAATAACGAAACTACATTGAGATATGTCATAACAAAACTACATTGTGATATGTCAAAACGAAAATACATTCGTTATGTCATAACGAAACTACATTAGGATATGTCGTAATTAAAAACAACGGGATATGTCATAACGAAACTACATTCGGTATGAAATAAACATCAAATAACGGATCTTCATTCGCTATGAAATAATTATATAACAAATCTACATTCTTTATGAGATATTCTTCAGATAACCAATGTACATTCGTTAGTAACTACATAACGGTTGTACATCCGTTATGTACCAAAAAATAAAAAAACCTCAATACCACAAAAACATGATAAATATAAAACCAACATGTTTCAATCATAAAATATGAACCAAAATGCTTTATCTCTAAAATAACAACAAACCCTAACATGCTTTAATTGTTGATCTTCCACCATCACCACGTTTCTTTTGCAATATGGAACCAAAGTTTGTATAATGATCATATTTTGTTCTCACCTTTTTAAGAGAAGAGAGGAGAGAGAGAGAGAGAAAGAGAGAGAGAGAGAGAGAGAGAGAGAGAGAGAGAGAGAGAGATAGCGAACAAAGAGCGAGAGAGCAAGCTATCATTATTTTTTTTTTTTATTACAAAATTGGTAGCAATATAAAAGAATGAATGACATTATAGTCATATAACATATAAAGATATTTTAGGTAATTAAATTATTTATTTGACTTTATTTAAAGAAGAGGTTACTTAAACGAAAACAAATAAAAAAAAAAAAAGTTAGAAAGGGTAAAATGACCCATTGACTGTCCCATTTTTTTCTTAAATAAAAGCCCCGACAATGAATAAATTAAAGTTGAAGAAATGCAATGTGGCGTGGGTGAGAATGCTTTTATGGTTAGTTCCCCTCTCTATTGTTTGTCTTTCACTGGTTCACTTCAGGAGCAAGAATGTACAGTTCGTGCAGTCTTCTCCCTGCATCTACGCTTTGCTTATCATCGAGGATTTTAGCCGTATTAATTTGTCTTTCTTTCTCCAATTCCCCTTCCTTTTGTTTGTTTTACAATTGAAACCTTGGTTTTCCAAGTTGTTTTGTTTGCTGAATTTGTGTGCAACTAAACTTTCATCGTACTCAGTTTGTTTCTTTTGTTTTTTGTTTTTTTT